GGCCAGCGACGCCAAGCGTCGCAAGCAGCCTTTGTGGTGAGCCGTCCAGGTTACCGACTCCTTGGCCCCGAGGAGCTGGTTGATCGGCGTCCACCAAGGCGGCAGCCTCCACTGCCAGCAGGACTCGGGCCTGCTGGCGAACTCCTCGAGCGACGCCGCCTGACGCGTGTCCTCTTTGACCCTGGCGGCGAGGAAGGCAGGCGAGAACCTCTTGACATCGAACGCGTGGCCCTCCCTGTCGGCCAGCACGCGTCCACCATCGCTGAGGCCCCAGCCGACTCTCCCGAGCGTGGGCACCAGCGCCGAGACGGGGTCTCGCACCGCGGCCCACGGTCTCTGCATGGAGGCCAGACGCCTGCTGTCCCTGAGGCAGGCCTGCACAGCGGCTGGAGAGGCCTGTCCTGACCAGCTCATGGCCACGAAGGCCTGGACCGCTAGGCCCGTCGCGATCACCAGCGGATCCTGCCTCCAGCCCTGGGGCGCACACTGCAGGCAGAAGGTCAACGCGGCGCCCGTTGGCAAGTTGCTGGCCGCTTTCGCCGCAGCGATCCTTAGCGCCCTCATGCGCCCTGGCGGGATCTCGTTGATGGCCGAGCCCCACAGAGCCTTGGCAGCGGGGCCTGCCCTCTGGATCTTGGCCTGCCTCATCCCCGAGCAGAAGATCCTGGTGATGTTGTTGCCCTGCCGCAGAGCCGCCAGCTCCCTGGCCACTTGCGTCCCGACCCTGCGATGGCCGCCCGCCGTCGTATCTCCTCCAAGGTCGCGGTGCCCATCGACGAAGGCTTCGTCGGCGAGGACCCAGTCGGCGTGCTGCTGCAGCTCTCTCCTCAGCTTCACCGAGGAGGCCAGTGCCTTGGTCTTTCCCCAGTTGATGGGGAGCCTCTTCTCGCCGAGCATGGTGGCGACTCCCTTCGCGAAGCTGGCTATCTGATCTACGACCAGCCTTCGCGTGCCTATGCCGTGGCCCGAGATGTCGTCTATCACGTTGACCACCCTGCCAATGGGCAGCAACTTCCTCGACTGCAGCAGGAGGTCGTATACCATGATCCTCGCCATGGTCGTAGCACAGGAGCACCCCGCGATGACGGTGTCGTCTACGGCCAGCTGCTCGCTGAGGGCAAGGTCGGCCCTGGCCCTGCGGGGGCCCGAATACAGCACACACAGCGCCTGTATCAACCCAGTGTTGAAATCGCAGCCCCGCGCCGCTTCGAGGAGCAGCCTGTGCCTGATCTGCTCGTAGAACTTGCTGGTGTCGAAGTAGACCGATGCCGCCTCGGAGTTCTTCTCCCGCGCCAGGCCGAGCAGGAGGTTGTGGATGTAGGCCGCCCTGTCACAGCAAGTGTCCGCGTCTGCCCCCCAAAATTCGGGGAGCTTGTGGTCCTTCTCCCACTCCGCGCAATACTTGCGCCTGATGCGGCTCCAGATGCGCATCCACATGCAGAGGAGCCCGATCGGGCGGCGGCCCCCGTCTGGCTTCCCCAGGAAGACGATTATCGTGGTGAAAAGCTCCGACTGCTGGGGGTGGCGTTCCCAGGCTGTCAAGATGTCCGCCAGCCTGTCCGCGTATTCCCTGCCTAGGCTGAGGATGGGCCTGGGGTGGAAGGCGTCCCATCCAAGCGCCGTCCTCCTGGGGAAGGTCCTGGCCGCTGCCAGCACCTCCTCTCCCGTGATGGCGCCTAGCCCCAACGGCTCGTTCCACTCCTCGGGGCGAACGCCGTCGGGGCCCTCCATGTGCCAGAGCGCCTTCCACTCTTGAAGGATCCTGTCTAGGGCCTGCTGACCGACCAGCGGGACGGGAGGGGCCTCGCCCTCGCCTGAGCCAAGGATGGAGCAGGTCTCCAGGTTGGCCTGCTTGCTGATCGCGTGGGCGCCCTTGCCGTTCCCACTGAGGGCCTCGGCCATGAACTCCTTCCAACGCTGCCTGGCGAGCTTCGCATCCTCCCTGCGCTTGACCTCCACGGCGGCGCTGATGGCCTGGAGAAGGGTGCCCCCCTGCTGCGTCCTGCCCAGGATCTCCGCCAGCATCGTCGCCATCTTGGCGCCGCTGAACACCTGGCAGCCCACAGCCTCGAACTTGGGGACCAGACCGAGAGCTGCCTCCTGTAGCCGCTTGACATGCTTGTGGTGCCCAGGCGGAGGGTGGGGCACCGACGCCGCGGCCGCCAGCTGCGTGGCTAGGCGCCCCAAGGATGCCCAACAGCGCGTTAGCGGGCTGGTCCTTCGCACTTCCTCCGAGCGCAGGAGGTGGATGAGCTGCTTGGGCACCCTCTTGATCCCCTGCGCCCTGCCCTTGAACTTGGCACCGTCCTTGATGCCGAAGCTGCGAATCAACCGCTCCTCCGCCTGGTCGAAGAACTCCATGGTCGCCTTGTTTGGGCTCCCACTCCCGTCCAGGAGCGGCGCCTTCCAGTCCGTCAGCGAGTCCTCCTCCTCCTCTGGCTCGGGCTGGATCCCTTCCTGCTTGGCCGCAGGCAGCTCAAAGGGCTTGGGGCCCTTCTGCACCCAGACACCCGCCTGGCTGCTCAGCTTCTCGAATGTGAGCCTGACGGGGGCGTGCGGGTGCGTAGTCGCACGCCTTAGCACCGTCACTTTCGGCCCTAGCCCCGCCAGGACCTCGGAGATTGCGAAGAAGTCGCATGTGCCAACCCCGCAGGTCGGCTCGTCGGGCGCCACGATCACCGCCCCCGCGGCGCGAGGCCACCACGAGCTGCTAAGGAGGCTGGGCTCCAGGTTCCAGTCTGCACCCACTACGAAGGGCTCCCTCAAACCCAGGAGGAATCCTTGCAGCTCGCTCAAGAGGTCCACGTTGGTCTCATTGAGCTTGACCGAGCACTGCAGGTACAGACTGACACACACCACGACCAGGTCCCCGAATGCGACTCGCCTCGCCACTATCCTTGAGGCGTGCAGGCCCCAGTCTTGGTCGATCGGGGCCACTCCGCGGTGTTCCCCGACCAGCACTCCAACTCCAGAAGAGACGGCTTGGACCGCCGTCCCCGTGCTGCGGCACACTCCAAAGGCCGCGTTGATGCCGTTCCGCTTGCACCAGGCACGGGCCGAGCCAGCAGCCGACGCCGAGGTGAAGCGGGTCTCCTGGATGAGGTACACGTCGTCTCTGGCCTTCTCGTCCAGCAGCTGCTCCAGGGCCGTCTGGGACTCAGCCCAAGTGGAGCCGTTGATGCTGACGAAGCTGGCGCCCTGCTGCACCGACGGCCTCACAAGCTTGGCCAGCTGGAGCCTGGCGGCCGCCGCGGGCCTCCCCTCGCCTGCCGCCTCGGCCCTGGGCTGGGGGCTGAGCTTCGCCTTGCAGACGAGGTCCATGGGTAGGCTCCCTCCCGAGCCTGTAGCCACTCCATCCTGAATGAGCAACCCACTCTTATATATGGGCCCTCGGCTGAGCTGCGGACTGCCTGCCCCTTGGCCTCTCTGCACATCTGGGCACACGATGGGCCTGGGGTCAAAGGTGGCGAGGCCGCTTGCCCGCCGCCCAGAGCGCGTCCAGGGCATCACGCAGCTTGCGCTTAGCCTCCTCCCGCTGCTCGGGGGTCGCTTCACGGAGGGCTGCCGAAGCTGCAGCGAACTCCTCGTGCTTCTCTTCCCAGCCTTCACCTCCGAGCAGCTCCATGTCGATGTCGTCTGATTCTGGCACAGACTGGTGCTCCCCGCCCGCGTCAGACTCCCCAGCAGCAGGACCAGGAGGAGCAGCAGCGGCCCTGGCCGAGGCAGCTGCCTTCTTGCTGTCGCTGGCCGCGGACTGCAAGCGGGCCAGGACCGCGAGGGCGTCCTTGGCCTCCTGGCAGGCGGCGACGTCCTCGTCCAGCCCAGCCGCCACAGCCAGGATCGGGTCGGGGAACTCGCTGGCCTGCAACTTGACCAACTTGGCCTCCCCCTCCGAGAGCTTCTGGTTTTCCTCGCTGAGGGCCACCCTGAGCTCCTGGAGCTCCTTGTCCAGAGCGGCCTGCTGCTCCACGATTGCTGCCTCTCGGGACTCGAGCTTCTTGATCTTGTCTCGCATGGCCTTGACACGCCAGCGCTGCGTCTGGGCAGTTGGCTGTTTGCCCTCAAGCAGCTTCGACTCCGCCGCCTTTTCAGCCTCCTCGACCGCGCTGGTGTCCAGCCCTTCCTTCTCCAAGAAGGTGCGAACTTCCTTGAAGGAGATGCCTGCCCCCGCCTCGGGCGCCTTCCTGGTCGGGGGCTTGCGTCCCTTCCAGGGCTCCGACGGGGGCGGGGCCTCGCCCTTGAGCTCCGCCACCTGCTTCTGTAACTGCTGCAGCTGCGCCAGAAGCTGGCCTTGGCCTGGCGGGCCCTGCGCCCAGGCCCCGCGCGGGCGAGACGTGCTGGGAGCTGGCCCGTTGGCTGCTGCTGCCGAGAGCTTGGCTGCCTGCACCACGTGGGTGGGAGCCGCCTTGCCGCACTGGCGGCAGCGCGTCCTGGACGCCCAGTTGCCATCCCGCCCGCAGGAGCAAGCCCAGAGGGGTGTCTTGCTCGCGCCTGGGATGATGCCAGGGTCCGAAAGTGCCGGCGCCATGGCCCGCGGGCTGCCGCGGGTGGGGCCGTCGTCGTGAAAGATTGGCTCGTGCCCACTCCGCCGCTTCGAAGTAAGTGAGCACAAACGCGAGCTGAGTCCAGCTCAAGAAAACCAGCTCGCGCCGAAACGGCTACGGTGAGGGCATTGAATAAGGAACCCCTGGATAAGGAATCCAGGGTCCAGAAGCTGGGGTAACTCCAATCGTGGACTGGCCATGGATATCACCGCCGCCCACATCCGATAAGGAATGGCCCAGGGTCTGGAAGCTCCTGGGCACATTCCTTAACCAACGCCCCCCCCCCGTACTGGAAAACTCCTGAGCGCGCGTCACCCCTGGGGGAGGCGACGCACACCTAGCGTCGGCACACTTGGGTTAACCGTTAACCCCCGCCACGGCTCGGGAAAAAAGGTCCCCCCCCCCCGAAACAGGAAGCCGGCGCCGCCTGAGGTTTCGCGACGGAGCGCGCCGATCCTGCACGGCAGCGGGACCCCTCGCCGATCCACGCGCCCCGAGCCGTGCTTGCGGCTCCGCGGCTCCTGGCTTCCGCCTCGACGATCGCGTCGACCTCCGGCTGGCTGGCCCCCGCGGGAATCGAGAGGACCCGCCCCTCCACCGTGACGCTCTCCACGGGAGGGCTCTCCTGCGGAGCGCCGAGGCCGCAAAACACATGCGTGCACGCAGGCCTTCCCCGAGGCCCGCGCCGGCATTCCTGGGGTCGGCGCCGGACCAACCCTCCCCCGTCCCGGGATGGCGGAAGGGCATCGGTACCTAGGATTACAGCCGGGGCGTTGACCTAAGGAACCCTAAATAAGGAACGGGGCCCCTTTTTTCCATAAGTTAAACTTCGATTTCCTGTCGAAGACATAAGGAAAACCTGAGGCAAGCTGTGAAACACTTAAGGAACGCGGAGCCCCTCCCCAACGAAAAGGGTTCTTTCTTCAGGGCCCCGACTGTAGGATTAGGTCGAGCATGTCTGCCTGCAGGCGAATTTTGGGCGAGAAATGAAACATGCCAAAACAATATATTGAAAAATTGTCCGGGCAAAGGGCCCAACCATATGCAATTGTTGAATACCTTCGTTGTGTGCACCGCAGTCGGTGGAGCCCCCCTTGGGGCTACCAAACGTGTGGGGTGTGCCAAAATGGGTGCGGTGGGCGCATGCGCGCGCTGGCATTTGAGCCTTCGGTGGGGCCCTCTGTGGGGCCACGAAACGTGTGAGGGGTGTGCCAAAATGGATGCGGTGGCTCCGTGCGAACGCTGGCATTTGGGCCTTCGGTGGGGCTCCCTTGGAGCCACGAAGCAAGCGTGTGAGGGGTGTGCCAAACTGGGTGCGGTGGCCACGTGCGAACGCTGGCATTTGGGCCTTCGGTGGGGCTGCCGATGGAGCCACGACACGTGTGAGGGGTGTGCCAAACTGAGTGCGCTGGCCGCATGCGAGTGCTGGCATTTTGGCCTTCGGTAGGGCCCCATATGGAGCCAAGAAGCGTGTGAGGGGTGTGCCAAAATGGGTGCGGTGGCCGCATGCGAAAGCTGGCATTTGGGCCTTCGGTGGGGCTCCCTATGGAGCCACGAAACGTGTGAGGGGTGTGCCAAACTGGGTGCGGTGGCCGCGTGCGAACGCTGGCATTTGGGCCTTCGGTGCAGCTCCTTCTGGAGCAACGAAACGTGTGAGGGGTGTGCCAAAATGGATGCGGTGGCTCCGTGCGAACGCTGGCATTTGGGCCTTCGGTGGGGCTCCCTATGGAGCCACGAAACGTGTGAGGGGTGTGCCAAAATGGTTGACTGGTTGGAGGGCACAGGCAGGAATCGGAGGAGGAAGGGGAGCGAGGAGGAGAGGATAGGAGGAGGAGAACGCGGGGCGCTGTCTCTTCAAAACGAGGGCCCATATTATTTTCAGGCTATTTTTGAATACTCCTCCTGTAGAGGGACAGGCCCGACTTAAACCTAGGACAAAATAACATTTCTCAAGAATACGAGACCATCCGCCTGCCAAAACACACAGCACATCCATGGGTACCCTCCCCAAGGTGCGCAGGCACGTCCAACAGGCACGAAGGACATCAGGGTGCCCTCCCCGAACCGACCTTGATCTTCTGACCTCGGTCCGACTGCACTCCACAGGCCTCTCCTGGCGCGCGTTCTGACAACGACTTCCAGGGGAATCCAGCCGTCGCGACGAGGGATGCTACAAGTCCCTTATTAACCGTCCACCGGGTCTGGTTTTGTAAGGCGCCTTTTTTCTGACTGGAGGAGTCCGGCTTATCAGGGCGCTTTCTTCGGATTGGAGCCTAGGGGGTCCGGTGTATCAAGGCGCCCCGTCGAAGAGGGGGGTCCAGAATACTGGCTCGCATTTGGAGGGGGGGTCCAGTGTTTTTAGGAGGAGTCGACTCATAAGGGATTTGGAGTGGATGGCGGCATCGGTACCGCTTCCCCGTCGGGCCCCAGGGCACTCCATTAAAGGGGCCCCAGAACACACAAATAAATACACACAAATAACCATATTCCCCATATTTTCCTATATTTTCTGGGTTTTTGTCTTCCCCCCCACTTCCCATATTTTCCCATATTTTCCTGGGAGTGGACGATTAATTGTGTCTGTGTGTTTTTTCCCCTCCTGATCCATCCCGGGCGCGCCCAAGGGGGTGTGCTGGAGGGGGGTGGCCAGAGCCGACCCAGGAAGACGGCGCGGACCTCCGAACCCAAACCCCCTCGAGTTATGAAAAAATCACGACGGGAGGTTTTTCCTAATTTTCGGCCTCGGGGGGCCCTCACCGGCCCTCGGGAGCGTCAAAAAACGACTCAGGACGAAGAGCCGGTCCCGGGGGAGGGGTCCAGACCGCTGGGGGTCGACGTCATGAAAAATTCATGACGTCGGGGGTCTGGGAAGACGGCGCGGACCTCCGAAGAGCTCCCCCTCGTGCAGATCTCTCGCTGGCCCTCTCCGGGGCACGAGCACAGAAGGACACGAAAGCACAAAAACTCGGAGGCCCCCGCGGACTTCACGGGTGGGCGCTGGAGCCCTCTCCCCGGCGCGCGCCGGGGGGCGCGCCGGGGAGGGCGGCGCCCGAGGCGCCGCGCGAGGGCGGGGTGCCCAGCGCGGCTCCGCGAAATCCGCACGGATCTCCGAGCCTGCTCCCCGTCTCCTCCTCCTCCCTCCCTCCCTCCTCCTCCTCCTCCTCCTCCTCCTCTCCTCCTTCCTCCCTCCTCCTCCTCCTCCTCCTCCTCCTCCTCCTCCTCCTCCTCCTTCTCGGCCCTCCATACACCTGGCTCTTGGGCGCCCGAGTTATCCGGGGTCACTCGGGCCCGGGGTAACTCGGGTCTGGACTCCCGAAAAAACGAACCCGATCAGTGAGCCCTGACCCGAGTTACCCCTGATGATGTGGGGCTCTGGACGCCCGGGTTATCCCGGGTTGCCTCGGGCCTGGGGCAACTCGGGCTTGGATTCCCGAAAAAGGAACCCGAGTTAGCCCTGACCCGAATTACCCCTGATGATGTGGGGCTCTGGACGCCCGGGTTATCCCGGGTTACCTCGGGCCCGGGGCAACTCGGGCTTGGATTCCCGAAAAAGGAACCCGAGTTAGCCCTGACCCGAGTTACCCCTGATGATGTGGGGCTCTGGACGCCCGGGTTATCCCGGGTTACCTCGGGCCCGGGGCAACTCGGGCTTGGATTCCCGAAAAAAACGAACCCGAGTTAGCCCTGACCCGAGTTACCCCTGATGATGTGGGGCTCTGAGGCTCTGTCTCCCCGCGCTCTGCCATGGCCCGCGACTGCGCCGCCAGCTGCTCCGCGTACCTCCCGAGCGCCGTGCCCTCGGGAGCGCCGTCGTCGGCGCTGGCTGGCGCCTCGCCGATCCAGTCTGGGAGCACCGGCTTCGGGCCGCCCGCCGCCCGCAGGCGGCGGCCGCCACCGATAGCCAACTCCGCCAGCGTCTCGTTCTCTTCCTCCGTCTTCTCCTGAGGGGCGAGGGGGGGAGGGGCGATGCGAGGTCGATGCTCAGAGCTTCGCAGTAAAAGGGGGGGAGGTCTGATGTGGGGTGGGGTCGGATTCGAGCTGCCGTGGAGGATTCCGGTGGGGGCAGGAGGCCGTCCTTTCAGGGCTGGTCTGGGGGGGGGGGCGTCTGAACTGGCTGGTCCGGGAGGTCTTTTAATGCCCACCCTTGTATCACGAAATCTGGGTTACCCTACCCTTCCCTCGTCCTCGGCCTTGTTGGGTCTCGCGGGATCACCCCCCTCGTCGCCGCGGCTCGGGGGGCGTGGAGAAGTCCCAGCCAGAACGCGCTCAGGGAGAGCGGGGAGGCGCGTTGCGACATCGATATCCTACCCCTCCCTCGTTCTCGGCCTGCTGGGTCTCGTGGGAGGCCTCTTGTCGCCGCCGGCCGGGTCGCGCCTCGGAGAATCCCAGCCAGAGCCATAGCACAGGGGGGAGAGCTCGGCGGAACAAAGCTTACACCCCTGCTGAGAAGATGACCTTCACACCAAGCGTTTTCTTAAACAGCAGCCCAAGCCCACATACGCGGGCATTCTGCAACGGAAACTCGGCTCCAAGGGAACGCCCAGGGTCCAGTCCTGACCCTTGATCTTCTTGAGCGAATTGTGGAGTCCATGAAAGCTAATGCTTTTCTTAAGATTTCTGATGGATGTAGTGGTGTTGGCACATCTTGCCCGCCAAGTCCACAGGTTTGAGGCCCTGGTTGCAATTGCCTGCCATGGTGGCGGCGCCATTTACGGTACCGGCTGAGCTGGCAAAGATCCCGACCGGTCCAAGCGCGCAGGTCGCTTCCACGTTGAAGACCCCAGGGCAAGAGCTCATTATGTTGCAGATATTGCAGCCGAGGTACCCCCAGAGGGCAAGGTTCAGGCCCACAAGCGAGGCGCAAGTTGTTCTCGTCTCATAAGTGTCCGTCACCTTGCAAGTCTGCGTGAGACTCTGGATGTTCACAATGATTGAGCCGAGATTGGAAATGACCTGCCAAGAGTCGGCCAGACAAGCCATGATTTCGAGGCTGCGCATCTCGCTGATCCCCTCAGACATGCTCACGTTCAGATCGGAGAGCATGCCCTCAATTTCTGAGATGTTGCCAGCCACGTATGATGAGTTCGCCGACCCCAATGCTGGGCTTGTGCCAGACCAACCCAACTTCTGTGCTACGGCATCCGCTTCCTCACTCTGCCCAACCTCGGCGGCGAGCATGGGGGGGGAAAAGAGAAAGGGCGGGCCTTCTCGGAAGGCTGGGAAGCACCCCCCGCCTTCTGAGAAGTTCTCCGGGCCCCCCGCGAAGACAGAGAAAACTTGCCAGAAGGCGCGAGGGCTTCTGAGAATCCCCCTCACCTTCTGTGGAGGCCTTCTCTTTCCCACTTCCCCCCCTTTCGCTCGCCGCCAACAACCTCCCCACTAAACTGCCGCGTATAGCCGAGCATGCGCTCGTCCAGGTCCCTGTGCACGCCCCGGGCCATCTCGTAGAGCTGTTCCACGCTCGGCACCCCGCCTCCGATCCTGTTTGGTGCTCGCAGAAGAGGAGTCGGCTACAAGCAGGAGCGACCCTGGGTAAGAATGACATTTGGTGCGCGGCGTTTGGGGGGCCGCGGGGGGACCAAACACAAGCGTGCAAGACTCTACTATCGCTCCGCGCTCGGCGATCGGGGGACCCCTGTGAGCTCGCACCACAGGTCACGTCAGCGAAGGGCCACTCTTACGCGTAGTCGAAGGAGGGGCTGAACGCCCGCCAAGCTCCCGACTTCAGGCAAATGGACTTTTGTCAACCCGCGGCTTCCAGAGGTCCAGTGACACCTTCCCCAGGGAAGTGTGTTTCGTCCTGGATTCGCGCTTCACTGCCCCGCGGCCCGAGAGTGACCCCCGACGGCCAAACTTGGAGAGCATCGCGCAGGGCATGACAGAAACCAATGTTGCTGGAGCTATCGGCCAACGCTTGCGTTTCCCTGGGCCGGAGTCTCCCCAGACAATGGCCGATGCCTACCTCCAGTGCAATCATGCAGCCTCCCAACTCCCTCTGGGGAGAAGGAGAAGGAGGAGGAGGAGGAGGAGCCAGATGAGAAAGAGGAGGAAGCGGAGAATAAAGCAGGAGAAGCAAAGAAGGAAAAGAAAAGGATGAGAGGATGGACGAGGACGAAATGGAAAGAAGAAGGACAAGGAGGAGGAGGAGGAGGAGCAGGAGGAGGAGAAGGAGGGAGGCTGGAGGGAGGAGGGACGGAGGAGACGGGCGGGAAGGAGGGAGGGAGGAGGAGGAGGTGATGTTCGGTCGTTCCCGAAGGCCCTCAAAGACGACCGCGAACACCGAATGGCAAGCGCCAGGTCTGATAGTGCGGCCCCAGATTGGTTGAAGCATTTCGCACAGCGTCGGGCGAAGAAACTTTACAAATTGCCCCTCGACATGAACACCGGCAGAAGCCTGATTCAGGAGGTCAAGATGGACACGAACCAAACGCTGCAATTCGCCTGAGACGCCGCGGACCGCGTAGAAGACGCGGATATCGAGATTGAGCACATTAAGGCGGATCTGGACACATACAATGTTACAAATGACGATCGAGGCAATGATCGACAAGAAGGCAATTGAACAAATCAACGAAACAAATCACATGCAAACAACACGGGGATGGCAGAAACACGCCGGAGACACGATTACCGACCAACCATAACAATCTCACCGAATGCTTGCGCTTGGTTTCTCCGAGCGCGAGGCTCGAGACCTCATCCAAGAGATCGAGGGTATGCTTAGATATTCCATCGGGGAGGACTCTGGGGCAAAGATGGAAGCTCCACGAACCCACCCCAAATGGGCATTATCACGTTTCAAAGCAGGCCGGAGAAGGTAAACTTCTAACCGGAGGGCCAACATCCAAATAACAAGAACACCACCCAGGACATGCAACTGAAAAGCGAGTCGATAAGAGGGGGGCAAGGTAAAGTCCTTGGGCTGTACCAAACACTGTCTTGGTCACAATCCGGGCGCCAAGTACGAAGACCAGATAAAGATTTGGCGGGACAGCGATTTGGCTGCATTGACGCGGAAAAAGGTAGCATGTTTCAACGTAAACGGACTGTGGAGCACCGCGTCGGCGGAAAAGTCTGTTGGGAAGAGCTGTTGAATCATTTCAGGCCAAATAACATGCAAACATCCATCCCGACACAACCACGGACGGCAAATGACGAATTGGTGGCTCCCCATGGATATGTAAACGACCCAACAGTGCTTCACCTATGAATTTCATCGGAACGGAACTTCCTGATCAGCAATCCGACCGCTCCCGCCTGCGGGTTGGGCCGTGCGAGACCTTTTTGTCAGAGTGTTGGACACAATGCTTGGCCTCATTCGCCAAAGCCTGGTCGAAACCTCCATGACCAATCCTCCTAAAGGGCCCTCCTGTGCCGGCGGTCTCTCGCGGACCCCCTTGCGCAAAAATCTCCAGTGGCCTCAGACGGTCCCGAGACGATTCAAGGTGGCCTCAAAAACAAGCCAAGAGAACCCCAAGACGGCCCCCAGACAACCCAAGAGGGTCCGATGTTGCCCAAGGTAGCCCCAATCCATCCCACGATGGCCGCAAGACTGGCTCAGGAGACCCCACAACGCACCAAGAGAGCTCCACGTTCACCCCCAGCGGGGGCCCCACGAAGCCAAAGCCAATTATTCTGGGTTTTTTCCCCAGATGTTGGCGCTCTTCTCGTTTCGAGTTCTCAACTCTCCAATGCAGCCCAAGATGGCTCCGAGCTCGCCCCAAGACGCCTTGATGACAACTCATTCAGTGCCTGCGGGCCAAACATGAAGAGCAACGGACAGGTTAGACTCCTCTGCGCGACGCACCGAGTGTGCAGTCCCTGGGGTGCAACGCATGGAGGACTCGCCATCGGGCGCAACCTATGGAAGCAATTCATAATGTAAGACTTGCGCGGAGGCCCATGAGCTAATGCCACAAGACGGCCCAAGCCGCAAATGCATGCAAAACCAAGGAACTGTGGCCGCCGCTGGACCCCGACTGATTCTAGCCCCCCCCCCGCTGCCCCCCCCCCCCTTCCTCACGCGCGGCCGCGCGGTCGAACGCGGCGCCCCCGATAGCAAACGCGGGCGCGGGCGCGGCGGGGGCCCAGAGAGGCGGGCAAGGGGGGGAGGGGGGAATGCGCGACAGACGAGCTGGCGGCACCAGGACAAGCAGAGACCCCCCCCAGAGTAAATTCCTGCCGCCGATCAGAGCACGCAGCGGGGATTCGCTAAATCGCAAGTTTTAAAGGCACTGGGAGGGTCTCCAGACGGCCCGCAGCGCGGGCCTGCGCGAGCGCATCGGCGACGCCAACCTCGCGGGGCCCCATCGGGCCTGGTAGGATCAAATATGGTGAAACCCACTTGTCGCGACTCACATGCACAACCACATCCCCGACATTAGGAGTAACGAACAATTATGCGAAACCATTGATGCAGGGTGTTCTGGACAGCAAGGGTCGGCCCCGGCGGGGCCGACATCTGACGCGCGGCAAACGGCCCCCCTGCAATGACTAAAGCCCGGCGCGAAGCTTTTGCCGCCCTGGTCTTCTCGCGCCCCCCAGCGAGCGCAGCGGCTCTGTCGCAGGCGCCTCCGGCGAGAAATCGCACGCGAAAAGCGATGGGGGGTGGGCCCGACGGAGGAAGGCTGACCTCGGCCCACAAGGCGCCGGCTGCATCTTGCGCGTGGCGCCGAGCACCTGCCCCCAGCGAAGAACTTCGCCTTTGCTGGAGGTGCCGCGCGAAATGCGCTGACATGCCGAAGCGTTTCAAGTCTGAAAACTTGAAAACGCGAGATCTAATCAACGGGGGGCCCGTCGTCACGAATGCGGGCGCGGCAAGCGAACAAAAATGGCAGGCGAAGTTAGCTCCTCGAGCTGTTCTTTTGCACGTCTGCGCAAGGATCTAGCGACCTGGACTGGCCTGGCAAGTTGGCAGCGCGGCCTCTAGCGTGCTTCCTGCACGTATTGGACACGTTCTAGGAGTGCGTACCCTCCCAGGCGCAGATCGCCATCTCCCCTGTTCCTGGCCCCGGCCTGAAAGACAGCGCGGGCGCCCCTTCCGCGAGGGCGAGTGCAACCTCCTCAAGTGGCTCTAAACTTGGCGAGGAGACTGGGCCCCCGATGACCCGCGCTGCTGCAGGGCCCCCCCCCTAGCCTGGTTCGCGCCGGTCGAGGCGGGGGGGCTCGACGGGCATGAAATACCACGCGCGCGCACCCCGGCCCACGAGGCGGAGGAGCGGGGCGCCCCAATCGCCCCGCCCATCCGCGCAAGGCCACTTTCACCATGAGCTCGACGCGCGCCTGGAAGAAGCCATTGGGAACAAGCGCATGGAGTTGCCGAGAAGCGGGCGGCGTGGCGAAGCCCCGAAGTGCCTGCCAGTCGTGATGGGCGGCGGCGGGGGGGGGGCCTTCGCGCCGCCGAGCTTCCGGAAACGTCGCGCGGGGCCCGCGCTCTGCCAGCTCCGCCACGTCGAGCACGCGCACGACAGAGCCCCCATTCGACGGTCGAGCAATGTGTCCGCGGAAGGCGCGGCGAGTCCGACGCGCGAGCTGCGTCGCCGCGGCGCCGCCCCCGCTTAGTGCCGGACGTCGCCGGGCGCCCTCTGCCCACAGAACAGATGAGCAATGAGCACTGGGCGCCTTCTGCCGACCCCGGGCCCCCGTCGGCTCGAGGTGGCCAGTGGCGTTTTACTGGCTAGGGCTGAGAAGACGCTCGACGCCCAATGGAAGAGAGCCGGCGACAAATCTGCCATGTCCTGGGCGGCATCTGAGACGCACTGGTCGGGCGACAGGGGGGTGGGGGCCATTATGGGGGGATGGGGGAGTGGGGGGCTGAGTGCCCTTGCCTAGCGGGCCGTTGATCGCGCGCCTTCTCCTGCGCTGTTAGCTCTGGAATGGGGGGCTTAGCGCCCGTGATTGATGAGCGATGTATAATGCGCCATCTCCTGCGCAGATAGCTCGTTCTATTCCTCGATGGAACGGGTGCGAATGCGCGGCCGCTGGCAGACCATTGAAGCGGCCTCCGGGGCGCGGCGCGCCCGGCGAGCGAACGGCGAGGCGTGCAACGTCGGCGGCAAGATGCGCACCCATCGGCGGGGACTCGCATCCTCGCCGCGCCCGCGCGCGCGAAGTGCGAGCGACGGCTTCGCAGGAATGGCGTTGAAACTTGCTGAGGGCAGGCGGCTCTGGGCAAGCCCCGCGCCGCGGTGCCCGCGCTCGCCGGACCTGCCAATCGACCTGGGCCTTCGGGGCGGCGCTTTTGAAAGCTCCGGGGGCCCGGCAACAGGAGTCGGCGCGGCCTCCTTGCGGGCGCGCTTCGGTCCAGCGGGCGATCTCTGCCCTGCGCCGCCCATTAGGGCGCGGCCGAGCAGCCGAGGGGCGGGCGAGACGGCGAGAGGCGCGTGGCCATGCCTACGCTTCGCGCAGACAACGAAACCGATGACACGCGACACCCAGCATTCACAATTGCAACTGAAAGCGGCCGCGCGAAACGCGCGACT